TTGCGATCCTACTCTTTGAGGTGTACCTGCGAGTCCCTTGCTTCTGAAGCTCCCTCCTGACTGCGGGGACTCAGGCTCGACACCCCTGCTACGGCGACGCGCAGCAGGTCGCTTCGTTGGTGTTACGAGAGTGCTGCGTCCAGCAAGGGGTGGCTACCGATATGTCCGTTAGCAGGATCGAACAGCATGCTGTCTTCAACGTAGTTGCCGGATGTTGAGGGAAGAAGTTTGAGAAGAGACAGGTAGCACCACGCCACGTGCAGTCGCCAGCCGGGATACAGGCCGGGCCGTGCAGCCATGGAGCCCTTGAGCCCCAGAGGGGAAGCCGAACAAAGAAGCCGTTCTCCCAATGCTAACCCTAAACAAAGTATAAACCCTCTTTGACTGCCCAAGCCTCCTTGTTCGACCTCTTTCCAGATCCTGCAGAAGGCAGTTGGGCAGCGCGCACCATCGCCCGGCAGCAGGCGCCTCCTACAGGCCTTCGCTCAGGAGCAGAGTCTCAACTGCGCCTCCCTGACGCCCGCGGCTTCCTTCCGACTGTCGTCGTGTCAGTGTCTGGCAGGCGCAGCAGCCAGCAGGCCTCGACTCGGATTGCACGAGCATTGGGGTTGGTCAAGTGAACCAACAAACAGCCTGTGGAACCGACCCTATGCGGGCCAGCAGCATTGGTTACGCTCCAGGATGTCGACCTGCAGTTCCGAAGTCCTTGTACGTCACTGGTCGGAAGCCTTGGGTTTTCACGATCAAGCACCTAGATGTGCTGATGCCCCAATGTTCAACCTCAAGTCCGGAATTCCCACGGAAACTCCAGCTCTGAACGTTAGACCCAAACACGCAAATCCCTTCAATCGGTCGCTCGGGAGGCCCGGCCATGCCTGCAGCGGGGTTTCAGGCCGAATCGGCTGCACGAGCGGGTTGGCTTCGGGGCTTAGTGCAGAAGGTCTATAGAGGCTTAGGGACTACATAGTGCAAGGCCACAGGATTTGAGGACAATGGCTTCAGTTTCAGATTGCGGGCGGCTCCAGCCGGCTTGTGGTCCGAGATAATTTGGTGGAGCACTTAAACTGTCATTCACTTTGAGTTCTATACACGGAAGTTCCTAGGGCCCCGGCGACGATATGTCATCACGCCGGTTGCCGCGTTGTTGACATCTTGTTGAAAATTCCCGGCCCCAAGCATAAAAGGGCTTTGATGGTTGTCTTATATGGGTTGTACATGGCATTGGTTTTAGGCCTTACAGGGCTTGCATTTCCTCACTAGTGCTGAAAGACTGGCTTTAAAAGGCCCAGGCTTGCGACCTTCAGATACATCGCCAACATTAGAATGGCAGTAGGTTGAATAGGAGATGAATGCATCTATTGAGCAATGATATGTATTGAACTGATGTTAAGGACGATCGCAGCGAGAGCAATACCAACATGCGATGTTCTCGAAGTAGCCTTCCTCGTTTCAAGTGACGGGTACGAAAAGCAAATCCGAACAAGGTCGAACAACACATGCTGACAGCCTAGGTCAGATGTTCAAAGGTGCGTGTCGAGTGGATCATAAAACCAAGACAAGACCTGCTAGTATTCTCAACTGCTGGCTGTGCGGCTGCGCCGATGTGCAACGCTGAACTGGTTCCGAGGATGTGTAGACAGTGAATCGTGGTCGTGAACACATGCTCTCAACCGGAACATGCCGCACGCGCAGGCACCGCAGGCGGCCAACAGAGGAGAGTGGCCGTCAGATGTCTTGTACCCTTGAACATGCACGGTTGCAAGGGTTTAGGGTGCACGTTCGAGGGACAGCAGCTGAAGTTTGCCCAAAATCACGGCTCGACAAAACCGTTCAAAGCCTTCAAGTCGCTGGTGTCGAAACGATCTGCTAGACAGATAGCCGAATTAAACAAGCGCCAGCTGAATTAAACGAGCCCCAGTTATACATGTTTGGCATTTCACTGCTGGTCCTTCCCCAGGTCGTAGTGATCTACTAACCTGGAATGTAGGGCTGTGCATGGTCTTGCTGTGCCGGCAATACAGTTGAACCCCTTGCACGTCGGGTTACACACACGAAAGTTCTGAAGATGTTCAGGTATGCAGACATAAACATGCATACATACATACATACATACATACATACATACATAGATATATGTATACATATGTATATACATATATATATATATATATCTGTACATATATTCACACATGCATACACATGCACATATGAAGAGATTTGCCAGGAGGTGCACCCTTTGCCAACGACTATGGAGCAGGGGCAGGCAACTGTAGATGTGCTTTGGTGAAACATGTGTCTGAAACGCAATAGTGAGAGCCTTACGATGACCGGGGAGAAAACTGTCAGATGCGCAGCACCGCACTGTTCACTTGAAGGGCTTCTGTAGCGGTGCGTCCATGCATGTCGACCCTGCGAGCTGCTTGGCGAAACTAGACCGAAGTACACGACCCGTTAATCTTATAATACTACTAATAAGAACACCGTAAATAGTGATATTAGTAAAATAGTAGGAGTAGTCAAACATGATTTGTCAACACGCGGAAGCACCGCCGTTGTCTGCGACTGGCGTGCCAGGGCTCCCTCCCCCGATGCCGCGGCAGAGTGCACCCTTCGCCCAGGTTGGTTGGGGGAGCTACAAGAATAACCAGGGCACCCGTTAGATTTCGGGAAGTTAGGGTTCACGGGCCACCGAATGTAGCACAAGGTAGCACATGTACCAGTCCCCAAGCCCTACAAGCCCTATCAAACCTCAAGACTCAAACCCCTAAACTCTAGTATCAGCGGAGATTCTGCCCAGCGTTGGCAGGAAAACCTGTGGAAGAACTGGATAAGAACTTGGAAACGAATGCACAAGTTCACGAACTTTCACCCTGTTCCACCTTTCCATTGGGCAGTTACTGCAGCCAAGAAACAGACACGAAGCTCAGATAAGGATTCGCGAAGCCCATTACTCGGGAGTAACGCCACTTTCGACAGGAAGCGTGTTTAGGATACGCCGGCAGCACGTCATGAGCAGCAACACCATCATACACATAATCATCATCGCCATCGTGACCGTCATCACGGCCATCATTGCCACCACCACCACCACCATAGTCTAAGTCTCAGTCAACCACGGTTGTCGAATTTTGTGCAGAATCGGGTCGAGAGCCGAAGCGCCTTCCTTTAGGGGTGTCGGGCTTCAGTGAGGACGTTGTTGTAGCTCTCCTGGCAGGATGGCGCTGGTGCAGTGATCCACGGTCGCTTTGCAGCCCCTCGCATGCAAAGTTGCTGCTAGCTACCAGGTAAATCCCACTAACCCAAAAGCATGCAGTTACATCCGCTGGACATCATGCCAGACCGGAGCCTGCTAAGGAGCATCAGAACATGTCGTCAAACGCCCGGAGCCTGGTTCAGACCCCGCACTCTCTCTCGTAGCTTGTCGAACTGCCTGCTTCGGACTCCCAGCACAGAGCTAGCCAGAGGCCGGTCCGGTGTATTGCGGTAAGACAGTCGTGGATGGATGTTTATTACAAGGCCCGCTACGGTAGCCAGAGGTATGCCTCAGTTCAGGAAACCCCATAGCGCAATCACAAACCGGATATGAAGCTCCCTGTCATCATGACATGCTTTCATGTCTTCTTCATTCCAGCAACTGCTTCCAACAGATGTTGAAGAGCTTGCCCCTGAAATAAGTCTTCCACCTTCAAGTTCGTCAAACATTCCTCAGGAAGCGGGTGCGACAGTGTCTGATTCATGGACGGATCGCCATGCTGTTGACCATCTCGCTGATTGTGAGGGTGATTTGATATTGCTACCTTGTGCCTTCATCCTACATAAGCAGACACTACAGAGAAGATCTACCATTTCGGGCAGCTGCTTCTTGTATCGCTTCATTCAGGCCTATGCTTGTGGTGGCAACCAGAACTGCGGCAACGTAATGACCAATCGTCGGACGCGCGTCACTTAGTGATCGTGCGCCGATGTTTGCGCTTCAGGAAGCAGCTATGGGCACGGCATAACAGCAAATCATGTTCTGTGAGGTCTCACATCTTAGTTCTGCTCTGCTGCCTGTTGCATGGCTCACGAGAGCGTCAGGCTGTGCATGCACCTAATGACTTAGTGATCGGCGGACCGCTAATAAAGTGTGTAGGCTGCCTTGTTCGGATGTATCTGTCAGGACAAAGCAACGTACATATGAGATGCAGATATTTCACTGGTGATCATATACTTGCTTGCTTGCTTGCTTGCTTGCTTTCTTTCTTGCTTGCTCGTCTACAGACGTACCCGCATAAGCACATTTCTGAAAAATCTGAACATTACACACATACATACATACATAAATACATACATACATACATACATACATACATACATACATACATACACGTATAGGTACATACATACATACGTGCATATATATATATATATGTATGTAAATACATAGGTATAGATATAGTGTATATGTTGGTATGTATGGGCATAAATCTACCGATATACATATATATATATATGTATGTTTACAATACATGTATGTGTGTCTATGTGTATATATATATATATAACTATATATATATATACACACATGTATGTGTGTATACCTATATGCTCAATTCTCTTGTATCTGGAGCTTGCATATGTATGTATATTCTGTATGTATATGTCGCCTGACAGGTGTTCCTGTAGTCGTACCGTGCATTTGTGCGCAGTTGTGTGAGTGAATGTGCAAGCGTATGGCTAACGTTCGTGCCTGTATGCACGTTAATACACACATACATACATACCTCCATACATGACAGACATACAGACATAGACACATACATATGTATATAGAGACGTACGTATACACAGACATCCATGCATACATGCATACATAAGAACATTGTAGCAAAGAGTTTGGCACTGCACTTTATGTTGAACCGAATTGCAGTAGATCCTTGAATGCCGAAGTCAGCCATGGGGAATCTGCTGAAGTCGCAACCTCCTTGCGCTTCGGATGCTCAGCCGACAGTAAAAACCGAATGCCCGCAGGGCGCTGGCTGCCTTTCCCGCCGCGGTGGCTTCTGTTCCTGGCGATTCTTCTGCTCGTTGCACTGTGCACCTGCTTCTGGTCGATGCAAGAGGTGTGGGAGCAGGATCACCTCGTCTCGGAGAAGGCGCACGTGAAGAAACACGAAAGAAGCCCAAGAACACAAAGGGTCGGAATTTCGCAACTCTCAAGATCTCTCTGTTCTTGTAAGTAGGTAGAATCCTCTCCATGCCAGGTCGAAAGACTGGTCGTGACAGATGGCCAGACCTCATCTTCTTGGAAGCAAAAAGGGAACCTAACGATGCAGTCTCGCGAAAGGCTCGGCCATGGCGTGCTGTTTGTCGTACGATCAAGCTCTCAGAACTACGGATTTCGCGTCACTTCCATTTTCAGAACATGGGGTCAAGACATCGCGAGCTCACCATCAGACGGTCTCATGGTCGTGGGAGACATGGCAGTGCAGCATCCTCGCATTTTTGCCGTGCCAGAGTGCGGGAACGATCACAGCCGAGCTTTATGTTGCAAAACGGGTTATGCACTGCAGCTTGCCTACCGCTGGCTTGATGATTTCGCCTGGTTCTTCGTCCTGGATGATGACACCTACGTCAATATAGAGAATTTGCGCCAGTCGCTATCTACCTTCAGTGCCTTGGAGCCCCAGGCACTGGGAGTTTTGGGATGTGGGCCCGGCTTTTGCGAAGATGGTCAAGGGGGCTTTTGTGGAGGAGGCGGCTACGCCCTGAGCAAAGCTGCCCTTGGTGTGATCATGATCAACTCCACATCTTCCTTTCAGCTGGACTTAATGTCTCATTTGGCCACAGAGAAAGATGGTATGGCATATGACGACATCAGCGCCCGTGGCTGCTTCACAGTATCATTTTCCTTTCCAGGTTGCCTTAGAGGTTTGAGGTCGGCCATGCATTTGTTGCGTGGTTTTCAGCCCTTCAAAGGTGTGGCGTGCCTGCTCAAAAGGCACAGAGTGCGCTTGCGATCGCTACATGGGCTCTATGCATTCGGATCTCCGAGACAGTGGCTGGACGAAGCGTATGAGCAAGCCATAACAGCTCGCAGCCCTCTGCCCGTCTCATTTCACTACGTTGGCCCGTTTTTAATGGAGGCTCTTCACAACCGCTTTGCGAGACTGACAGAAAGCCGTGAAACGGCCTTGCCGCAAGACGAAAATATCCGCAGCGCCAGTCCCGTGCGAGCGGAGTTGCGAGACCTCAAAGTTCATAAGCTTGTCGGTTTGACTTTGTTTAGATAATGGGGCCGTGACGGCAGTCGAACTATTGCATATGCAGACTAATTACAGTCTGATTGGAGACTCACAGACCGAAGCTCAAAGCGAAGTCTGGATTTGTTGCAAGGCCTGCCACTCGGGGCTCCATTGCAGTAGCAGCCAACACTTTCGTCGAACGTCGCCCTTGTATGGCAAATCCACTGCAACTGTAGTCCAGAAGGCCAGCAATCTCATCGGCTCCTCTGCTCTGCACAAACAGCAGAAGCTTAGAAGCCGAAAGCCCCAAGTCTTTGGGCTCCGGGCCGAGGGGATCAAGGTTACGTAGCCTCTAGCAGCTCGGCTCAAGCCAAAACGGGGGTCGGAACACTTAGCAATAGTGTGTTTTCTTATGGTTCCTATACAGTCATGGTGCGGTATAACCCCAGAACGTCACTCGTCGAAGTCTTCCGGCCCTTATACTTACTAACCATTACTATAACTCCTTTCACTGTTAGCTCTTCGAGCCCATGCTAAGGACCAAGGTCTCACACCCACCCGGCGGCGGCTCGTCAATTTCCTTCGGCTAGGAGGCGCAGAGAAGGACAGACATGAGGCCACGTATTCCTGGACCCCGTGACTCTCTCTCTCTCTCTCTCTGTGTATTCTGAGACATGAGATATGCTTTGGGGATCCTCGGCTCTCTTCTCCTCTCCAGTAAGGATAGGCCTGAAGCTGGCAGGAAAAGTGGTTTGGGGCACTAGGCGCGGACTAGACTGAGCATTGTTGCTAGTGGCATACTGGCGGCACACATCCGGCACATTCGCAGTAGATCGTCGCTAGACCTTCGGTTGTGCGGAGAGCCGGGTTCAGCTCCGCAAGCTGCAAAACTGAGCCTGACAAACGAGATCAACACCCTGCCAGGTCGTGATGAAATCTGCTGCAAGCGAGGCCTCCGAATTCGTTGCGAATTCAAAGCACGAGGCTGACCGAGCAGGAGGTTGTCCCCGGTGTTTCAGGTCGGAAGTCCCTCATGCGCAGCACCAGTATCGCTTTGAGCTGCTTTGTGGCTTGCTGGCTACAACAAGAAGACCTGACATGTAGTGGATTGTTTGACCTGGACTTCTGGAAATGTCCCGTGCATGACGACATCACCGGCTTCATGCTAAGGCGAAACCGAGTCGGGGGCACCGTCCCTCCTTTCAGCCTCCGGCAAACCTTCAAGGGAAGGTTGCGTTTCACCAATCCACTCCCCCTCCCACCTAGACTCACGGTAAACCGGCTTTAAGGCTATATGGTTGGCGAGAGTGCTGCCCCAAACCCTAAACCCTATAAACCCTAAAACCCTGAGCACTGAGGTATCAGCCTCAATAAAGTCATGCGATGCCCGACAGCTTTGGGGCCACACAATAATTAGGCGATGCATCGGATCGTGGAGCACCAAAGCTCTGGGATGGGAAACTCCTGCGCAAAGAGGTAGTATGCCTCCTACGCCCGAAAGAAGACCGCTACATGACCCCGTAAATAGTGCGCCTCTGCGATGGAAGGACGCACTTTCACTCAGTAGTGGTAGGGCTGGTACCGGGAAAGGGTTGACCTCTTTTTGTGGAAAGCGATTGATCTATGCCATCGATGCTAACTTACGATAGGTTCAGGGTGCATCTATGGACGCATCGGGCTCAACTCTTTCACGGGCGGAGCAAGAATTGAATTGCACAAGCGAGTGGAGCGCGCAAAAGCGCGGGGTCATGGCGCTCCGGATCCAGATGTGTGATAAGCATACTGATATAATGATACATTAGGAGAACAATATTAATTATTGTCTCATAGACTCGTAGCCCCTACATGACACCAAGCAGAATGCCTAAAACCCTATTCCAATTATTAAGGTCCCTGTATTCCGTCGTCGGGTGCTCGTCGATGGCCTCCGTTGCTATTGTGAGTTGCTTCATATATGGGTCTGAACTTTACATAGCAATTCCTTTGTGATGGCATTCGTTGCTATATGCTCGTCCATACGAGCAGCTGATAAAGCAGCAAGAACATGATCGACATCCAGCTTTGCCGAGGTGGCTGAATGTGGCGATTGGAAGAGGCGCCAGTTAATAAGCAGTATGCACGCGTGATAGCTTTGCTCGGCTGCTGATACAAGACGAGGCCGGAACCAAAGCCACAACGAGCACTGCAGTTCCAACTGCAGTGCAATGCTACTTCAATACACACATATATATATATATGTATGTATGAAAATCGCCAGGATGAATATCAAGTTGACGGCAGCCATACGTAACTCACCATTCCTTTCGCTGCTCGATGCTGAAGGATCAGGGGACTTTAAAAACTGTTCATCTTAGTTACAGGTGGACTTTCCACTCACTAGATATTGCCGAGCTACAATGGCCAAGCCTCCCGATCCATAAAGTCGTGTTGTGATGCTCAGGCAAGCCGCTAGTGAGGGGGTGCTTTCTATAAGCGCAGCTTAAAGAACCTAATGTCGTGATGTATTATGCACAGGATTTCAGAGGGCCGCATAGTTTGATTTATGCGCTAAAATAAAAAGATCCTGATCCGAAACCTTATAAAGCTTAACGGAACTCCAAGCCGACTCGCGTCAGGCAATCATCGTCTCTTCATCTTGCTCTCTTTTTTGGAGGTGCGGAGCTCGTATCCTTGAGATTAAGAACTTCAGAACATTTATATCTGTGGAGCTTGACGGCGAGATGTCGGAAAAAAGACAGCAACCTCAAGCCCCAAAGCACCATCAATGAAGATGAAGGTGCGAAGCCTTCCATCCCATGGCACACGAGTTGTTTGATTCGCCTCACATCGCTACCTTGGCTCGAGTCGAGAACAGACTCAATGCCGGCACAACATGTTGGCACCCTCAGCTTGTGAACAAGATGCTTCGTGTTTGGCGCTTTTCTGGAGAGCTGCTCGCAGCCGTGTCGACAGACAGTTTCAAAAACATCAGAGCGTTGAAGGACCACTTGTGCGAGATGCATGGCTTCCCGGTATGCACTCAGCGTCTTGTTCATGACGGCCTCGTCTTGGATGATGGGGCCGGAGTTGACAAGCCAATTGATGTGCAGTTGGTGCTCGAGAGCATTTCTGCGCAGTACTTTACGCTGCAACTGGCCAACGAGTTAATATCTGAGGCCAGGCGGGCCAACACCAAGGGGGTACGCCAGCTGCTGGAAGCCGGCGCAGCCGAGGATTCGAAGGATCACGCTGGTTCAACGGCCGTTGCCTGCGCATCAGCACAAGGCCACTTGGAGACCGTGGATGTGCTGCTGAAAGCCGGCGCTGACCCAGACTTGTCAGACTGGAGGGGCAACACCGCCCTAGTTCTGGCGTCTGCCAGTGGCCACGTGGAGGTTGTGCGTTTGCTACTGGACGCTGGCGCCCAGATGGATTGGCAGGCACGTGATGGCACCACCGCACTTAGTTGTGCCGCTGTCAACAACCATGTTCAGACAGCTCGCTTGCTACTGGAAGCCGGTGCTGACAAAGACTTGGCAGACGATAATGGCAACACCCCTCTTATTCGTGCATCTGGCGGCGGCCATGCTGACATCGTGCAGCTGTTGATGGCTGCAGGTTCTGACAAGGATCAGCAGGCACACAATGGCCACACTGCTCTTTCCTGTGCATCGGGGGGCAATCATGCAGACGTTGTTTGTCTGTTGGTGAAAGCGGCTGCAGATGCAAACGCACAAGACCACAACGGAGAGACGGCTCTTCATCTTGCATCACGTCGTGGCTGCCCAAAGACCGTTCGCATGTTGCTGGAAGCAGGTGCCGAAGGTGAAGTGCAGGCTGGCACGGGCAACACCCCTTTCTTTTGCGCCTCCGTCAGTGGCAACCTTGAAACTGCACGTTTGCTTCTGGAATTTGGTCGTGCCAACAAAGACCGTGAGCTCCTCTCTGCAGCAGCAGAGGGTCATTCCGAGACAGTGCGGCTGTTGTTGGAAGCTGGGGCAGACAAGGACACAAGGAACAGCGATGGGGAGAATGCTCTGCACCTCGCAGCGTATGGCGGGCATCATCATGCAGTACGCTTGCTGTTGGAAGCAGGTACGAACCGAGACTTGCATAAACGGAATGGCGATACCCCTCTTGTAAATGCATGTCATCGCGGTCATGCTGAAATTGTACGTTTGCTGCTGGAAGGTGGTGCTGACAAAGAATTGGGATCTTATTCTGGCAGTAGTCCGCTTGTTATTGCATGTGGCGGTGGTCACGTTGAAACTGCCCGCATCTTATTGGAATCTGGTGCTGCTCAGGAATTTGCACTCTTACGCGCATCTGCAGGAGGCCAGGTTGATATTGTTCACTTACTGTTGGAGGCTAGGGCAAACAAGGATGCGAAGGACCTCCGTGGTCAGACCGCTCTGCACCGTGCTGCTTCCCGCGGACAGTCCGAAACTGTTCGCTTGTTGCTGGCAGCTGGTGTTGATCAACATGTGCAAGACATCACAGGAGCAAAGGCAATCGCACTCGCCTCTTTGAATCATCACCACAAGACAGTGCGCTTGCTTCGAGGCTGCACTTGAACGCCGCCGTGACCGGGCTTAGTGTAAGTTGAAAGTTAGAGTGAGAGTGAGACACACGCGCGCGGGCTTCGGGAAAGATTGAAGGCTGATCAGGTGATTATATGTAGACCCTAACAGCGTTGCCTGCGGATACGAACTTGTGTTACTCGCCTGTGTTGCCCCACAGCGAGTCACCGATTGCTTGTCCCAGGACTTTAGTTAGACACTGAGAGCGATTTGAAGGCACCACCCCCAAGAATCGCAAACCCCATGTAATGCTGGGGCTGGGGATTTCCAAGCAGGCAGAAGAACCTAAGAGGCCGAATAGTGCGCCTTAGGCCACCGCCATAGTCGCCAGCATTGGATTTTACCCTGAACTCGGCCTCCCCCAAAACCGGAGCAGTCATCTGAAGTCTCAGATGTTATGACAGGTGGCAGCTCACACATACTGCGGAGACCCTAAACTCTCAGCCGCGCACCCCCAACTGCCTACATCATCCAAACCCTCGCCTCAAA